TTCGTGCCGCCATAGGGAATGCAGCGACTGAGAGCCTCAGTCAGTCGGCACTACCGAATAACTTAGCCATTACAGTACTGTTTATGAAAGAAAACCACCTTTTAGAAACCAGCCTTTTTATTTTTTGACTGGCTGGAGCTTATGATGTTTGTCTTTTCTGGTGAATAACGTCTGCCTTCCAGCATTGCAATAGCAGAAATAAGGCTTTTATGTTCCAGCCTATACCGTTCACCTCCATTGCAATTCAGGCTGCAAAATTATTTCAGTTCTGAATTTCAGTTCCTAGTTTTGCAAAACTTCTTCGGGGAGAAATTCTCTTCCAAGGCATTTAAGCCAAGTAATACCTTTGACAATTTTTTTGCATTATGAAAACTGACAAGATATACTATCTCCCAAAGCTAAGACTGTTTTTTCAAGCAGAAAACTGCATGAAATAACTGCAAATGAGACTTACGCTAAAATAATAAATCTTGGAAGTTAAAACTTCCTGTGAAATTAGTACTTGCTGAAGAGCACTGTCTTTGTTCTGTCTGAAATATCTGGTGTTTTGAATTTGCTAACGAATGACAATTTTAGAGCACATGAAGTAAATCTTAAATCTTCCAGGACTCTCAAGAAATAATACCTCTTATATAGTGCCTCTTCATCAATAACTCTTAAAGTATGTTATCCTGATCAGAATGAGGGCTAGCCAGATATGGGTTCATTAAAAAATCCAGGGTTTTTCCATTCTGAAATAGAAGCAAATCCAGACTTTCAAAAACGCTAATAAAAAACAGGAGACCGCTAGCACACCATGTGTTAAGCACATCCAAGCTGAGGGGGATTTGCCTTCAAGCCCAGAGTAGGCCTTGCATTTAAATGTACCCTAACTACTGTGTTGCTTGCAGTCATTTTGCTCTTGTGGAGGGAGATGTTCACACTGACGGAGATGAGATGGGCTCTGTGGATTTGTAACTGAGCAGTTGGCTGGAAGACAGAAGCAGCACTTCTGTATCCCCCTTTTGGCTCATGCAGGTTTAGTTTGGGTCTGGTTTGGGTCTGTTATCTTGTGCAAGAGGATATCCTGCCCCTTCATCCATCCCAGTGACATTGTGGAAAACAGGTGCTCTTCACCTGTTTCTCCTCTGTGAATTACAACACTTACCAACTCCCTGTTGCCTTGCATGGAGCACTAAGAAGTTTTCATTTACTCCTCTGCTGCTGAGGTAGAGCACTTCTCTGATGAAATGGGACATCTCCCTCTGGACCAGAGAAACTTGACTGCCACACAGAAATAATTACGACAGATATATTCCTAGGAAAGGGAAAGGCTTGTTTTGTCACATCACTGTTTTACAGCCAGAAAAATTATTTTACCAACCTGCCAATCCCCAAGTCAGCATCTTAGCATCATCTTCTCAGACAGGAAAGACAACATATCATAAGTTAACGTGAAACCCATGGCAGAGCTCAGTGTAAGACATAAGCACTCACTGTTTTGTACTTTCAGCACATTGCCTTGAACTTGGCTGTGGAGAAAAACTGTAATATTAAAGACAATGAGTGTTTTCAGATACAATGGTGTGAATCTGGATGACTAAATGTAAGTGTCATGGAGCTGCATTTACACCAGAGTAACCTGGTCAGAATTTGGTTTGCAGTGTGTCATCTGCAGGCTGTGGCCCTTGCAGTCCCCATCATTTAGCTGTTTATATTGTCAAAGGAAGCTGGAAAAAATCGCAGCAGGAGCTGTGTTTTGGGTAAAATTATACTTGTGCAGCCAAAGCAAATACTAGAAAGTGAAAGGGATCCAGAGTAACATGTTCATTTTGTCCTGAGCCTGCTTCCACTGAGACACAGGAGAGGGTTAGCTCCCCCAAACCAAGACACTTCTTCAGCAGCTCAGTTTAAAAGCTCCTGGGGACAGCAAGAGGGAGAAATCTCTGCCTGACGCACAGTGAAAACAACAGGAGGAAGTCAGTCACTGTAATGCAAAGGGCATCTGAGGCTACTCTCCCACTTTTATTCAGGCCCCTGTAGAGAGGTGGCCATGGCGTACTGGCAGCAAGCAAGGTAACAGCTGTGATACCCTGGTGCTGTGGGCACCCCAAGAGGTCCAGAAGATCGGAGAGGTGAGAAACTGGTCAGAGCAGCTGTCTGGGCTGTCCTCAGCCACCTGAAAAACCCTGAGGCCACGGAAAAAAAAACAAAGACAAAGACAACCTTGCAGCTTTTACCTTAGCACAAGCAGCAAAGTATGAGATCTGCCTATCCCTAAACCACTATGCTTTCAGGATGTGCTCTCTGCTTTTAAACACCACCAAAGGCTGTCACTGAAATAGATTTGTGGGGCAGTCTGCTGTAAAGTAAATCTGGGGAGGGAAGAGCAAGGAGCAACACATTCCCCCTCAAATGAATAAGAAACTTTCAAGATTTCCCTTCAACCTGTGGGAGCATTTCATTTGCCAGTGAACAGCTCTATAAATTTCACCTATTGGTGTGAAGTAAAGATGTTTTATGGTTGTCCAGACTGAGCTATGATTGACTTAAAGTCTAAAAAATAATTTCCTTAAAGTCTAACAAATCAATCTCCTCCCACTGTGCCTTTAACCACGTTATAGACAGCAACCCTTTTTCCTTTAAAGATAACTGGGGAGGGAGGGAAGACCTGTCACCAACACCTAATGAATGAATGAATTTTGAGCCATCCTATAATTTCCCTCTGCTTGGCTATAAGAACATGAGGAAAACAAGCAGAGCAGAAATCCTGAGCATCACATCACACCTGTGCTGCCAGGAGACAAACTGCTCCATGGGAAGCTGAAGCAGCTTCTTCCTCAGAATGATGTGCGGTGCTGAAGGAAGGATGACGTGTCAATGGGAGCCTCACCACAAAGGGCTTTTTGTTGAAAGATGCTACGCAGCATTGCATGTTGTGGTGGAGGGGACACAGTGGAGTATTTCCAGCAGGAGATGATGCATTTGTACCAAATCAGTGCGCATGCTATTTTCTCTGTTGGAATATTGTCATTGTCCTTTATTACATTAAAGGGGAACATCTTTATCTCATGGTGATTTGGGTGGGATGTGACATCGCCTAATGTAAAAGGGGCCTGTAATATCAAGGAGACAACCGTGAAATAACACATTACACACTGAATTGAACAGCAGGCTCATTTACATCCCTTTAATTTGGAAATATGAATGTTCAGAAACCCTCTTCTCCACTTGCATTCCCTTATTTGGGAAACATGTAAATTACATTTATGATAATTTAGTATTTAACTGGTACAAGCATTGCGAATTCCAGAAGCAAACGATTTAAAAAAGGCAGGAGCTGTGCCAGCCTTCTTTGCAAATGCGTGTGGTAAAAGCCACCTCTGCGGATGACTTTGAATGCAGCACCTCCAGCTTCTGGACCTGCACTTGCAAATGCTTGTAAAGCAGATGGGACAGCTGGGATGAGGCTTGCAGGGCTGGACCTTTTGTCCCAGTCACAGTCTAGGCTTATCACATTTGGCAGATGGATTTAATTAATAAACCGTCTGTATCACCTCTTCTGTTGTGTGTAGAGTCATTTTTTTTTGCAGCCTCTGAGATCCCAGAACTGCAGATGAAAACAACAACAGAGGAGCTTTTAGATCAGCCACGTTCAGATGATGCTGAGCCTCTTCTATGATAATCCCACTGCTACGTTTTCCAGTCTTGCCTTAGAAACCTTTTACCAGTGGTGACTCATATTCAGTTGCTCATCAGACAGTTTATTCTATTGCCTGTGTAATAGCCCTTATTATTAATTCATTTCTCTTGTATCTAAATGGGATTGTTCCACTTTTAATTTGAGACCCTTTTACCATCTCTGACGCAGGGAAGGTCCATCGTAACAGCACACATTAGTGCTCATCCCGGTGCTAGCTGGGGTTCCCTCCTGCCCCGTGAATTGCTTTCCGTCATACCCCCACCTGCAGTTCCCTTCGCCATTCCTGCTGCCCATCCTCTGACACTTTTCAGTGTCCTTTTTAGAAAATGAGGCTTAAAATCGCTTGCTGTTCTCCAGCTCTCTCCTTACCCAGACTGCAAAATGCTGCACTCATCACTCTCTTTTTGTCACATGGCAGTTCCCTCTTTACTCTATACACCCTGGAATAGAGATTGCTCTCCTCAAAATGTAAGCTCTTACAGGCTTTGTTACCTACTACAATCCCAAGGTATTTTACCAATCTATGCATTCTAAATATTTGTGTTGATTGTTGCTATATCTCTTCAGGTGACATTCATCAATTACTGTGACATTCATCAATATTAGGTAAATTTTATTTTGTTGACTTCTTCCCGTGATTCAGAACATTCCAGGTAATTCTGCAATTGGGACTTGCTATCTCTTTTCACCTATTCATTTTATATTTTATTGCTTTTAGTGCTAGTAAGGTTAAATACAGCACTGCCTCATATAAATCAGATGTCCAGAGCACAGAAGAGAATAAGAATATTTGGATAAATAATTGGAAGTTGAAAATGGGATTTTTATTTTAAAAGCAAGGAAAATAAATTATTTTTCATTAAATATAACAGCTGCATTTAAATTTTTCCCTTTTGCCCAAACTTGAATAAAAAGAGAGAAGATAAAGAAAAAAAAAAATCTTCTTTTAAAAAAAATCTTGAAAATCTTTGTCAAACCTAAACTTTCATGCTAGTATTTTCATCTGCGCAATATATCCTTTGGGGGCAAAAGTGTTCAGAGTAATTGTGACAGAGGCTGTGATAAGGCGTCACCTGTCTTTTTTTTCTGCCTGTTTCACAGAAGGGACAGTACAGAAATCATTGCTCTGAAAAACAGTTCATGCCTTCAGGAGAGCTCTGAAACATTTGCCTGCAACTAATCAGGAGCCATGGCTCAATGAGCTTCCATGTGTCTTTACTGTGTGGAGCAGGGACTAAAGCAAGCACATGCTGTAGAAACTCAGAAAACAGCAGTCCTTTGAGCAAAATTTTATTAAAACAAAAAACCAAAATCACCATAACAAAAAACTAAACCCAACCAAAATGTGTCCAAGAAACAGAAATGTTAGCATACTCATTTCTTGATATTGTCCATAGCCTTTTATATATTCTTGCATAATTTTCTACAGAAACTTTCATAGCTTAAAGACAAAGGACAAGCTGGGGGAAATCTCATCTATAATAAGAAAGGCACAACTAAACAGAGATCTAGTTATTGAAAAAAACATCTTTGCTCAGAGACACTAGTCAATGGACTGAGTTCAGAGAATCAAACGAGTCTCATGCCCATTCCTCAGGAATACTCAGTTTTCAAATCATCTGTCATGCACTGCGCACTGAAACCCTATCAGAACATACCCGCTACTGCAGGAAGGTGTGAGAAGCTGTGGGCATATGTTGTCTATCAGGGGCTGATGGTGCTTCTGAAAATTGCATCAGATTATGTCTTCTGTTTGGCACTAAAATAATCCTGATTCTTTTCATGGAGATACAAACACCATTTGACATGCCCCTGTGGATGGCTGACTCCCAGATGCCGTTATCAGCCTGTGGCAAACATGTTAAAGTTGCTTTAACCTTCTTAGTAAGTCTACCTTGTATCTGTGTTGCTCATTCCCAATAGATTTGAGGAACATTGGTTTCGGTTATCCCTAAGGTAAGGATGGGTACAGGAGGGGAGCCCAAACAGGACTCTGATTACCTGAGATTTGCTCTGACAGATTCATTTTCAGTAATTGTGCCTGTAACACCTGATTTAGGGCTCTTCATCAAACAGTAGTGCAAGCTGATTTCTTTGAAAGTAAATACCCAGCAGTCAGGACTATGACAGGTGTTACAGATGGGACTAGTAATTCACTTAACTGTGTCTCTAACCCCCTCTTTTCTATACATTTCACCTCAATATTCTCCAGGGCAATCACTAGCCCTGCTAAACTTGTGGTTCTCATTTAATTCCCTGACATGTTCTTTTTTAAGGCTTTATTTTCAGTTATTGAAGTACAAGAAATTGCTTTTGGCCTCAAGCCTTGGTTTCCAGAAAGGCAAGAAGAGACTTCACTCTTGGTAACTAAAACGAAATGCTTTCTGGTTTTGCATGAACATCTCTCAGGGCTTTTCTGCGCCCAACTGCACTTTTTCACAACGGTCCATGTTCCCAATGGAGGCAAATCTTTTCCTGCTCTGCCAATGGAGGGCACAGTGCTCGGACCAAACCCTAGTGATAAAGAAGTAACTTAATTCAAGATGAACATCTTGCATTTACAGACAGTCAACATATCCCTCTGCTCCAGGGCTTCTTAATTTACCATACAACAGGGTAACATCTAGCTGCATGAGGTCAGGTTCAGGGACAACCCTAGCAGGAGTCACCCAGTGCACACCAGAGCATATTCTTTGGAAACAGGCCTGTGGTCATACAGGCTGTGGTCACACAGCCCATGGTCATACAGGCTGTGACATGTCTCAGGTTATCAGGTAAGTGCTGCAGAGGGCACCTCCCTGAGGAGGGATGTAGATGCACGTGTGAATGCCATGCACAAGTAGTCATTCTTTTCATGGCATTGCATCAGAAATATTACTGTAATCATTACAAATTATGTCTGCTGTATAATCTTTTCTTTCCTTTATCTAGTCTATAATTACAGCACCTACAAACAAACACACAAAAAAACCTTATTGGATTTTTCTGTCGTGATCTATGTTTAGGGTTTGGCAGGATCCAATTTTAATTTCAACTTCAATGATAACACTTTATTACCCGTGTTCTTTATTTATAGTTACACACTGCTTATTTATAGTGATGTAAATATTTTTTCAACTTGCATCCAGGAAAGCGCTACGATCATGGGTTGAAAGAAAAGCAGTTTCTCTCTTTTGAATAGCTGGCGTGATTTCAAGGAGATGGGGTCTACAAATTCATCTGCCATCACAAAATTTAGTCCTTAATCTATACAGAAAAGAAATGACAAATAGATTACAAAACCCTTCCTGACAGAGCCTGTCCATGCTCTGTTTTCTTGGAATACTGCATAAAGTGACAACATGAATCACAAGAAACATTCAACGTGAGCTTGAGCAAGCTAGAAAATGCTCTTTTTTTTTTGGAGGCAGGAGAAAAAAATTGTGTTATTAAAAACAGAGATGAGCTGAGAAAAAAAATTAGTTTAAGTATTTTGTGCATTTAGATAGCCCAAGAAGATCCCATATGGAATATGAGCAAGTGTTAACAGAAAGGTCATTAATCAAGTAATACGCCTACTGGAAACAAATCCCACAACAGCTCAAAAAAAACCAGACAAAAAGTTAGCCCGTGGTTAGATAAGTAAATGGATGTCTGTGTGGGAGCATTATTGAAGAGAAGAAGCACCATGAGATTGGGCAGCCACAGGTCAGGCATTTCATCATCCAACTCTCCAGTACCCCAGCACTCCAGTAACAATCAACTGATACCCAATCAGCGGAAAAAGTTTCCTGAATCAAAGCTGCTTGCTAGAGAAAGAGAGCATAAGAGTGTCCACTGGGAGGAAACCTCTGGTTTATTCAGGAAAATTGATCCCCAAGACTGCAGTGTGACCTTGTGTGGGGACGGAGACCAGGTTTCCTCTGACTCCAGTCAAGCTGAAGGATTTCCCTGCACAGGAAAGCAGTGGGACTTTGGGTATGTTGTCTGCACGCCTCCATCCACAACGGTCACTTCCCTCCCAAGGTACCCAAGTAGGAAGCTCCTTCTTCACCTTCTTCCAACAAGCAGGGCTGTCCAACGCAGTGTTGCTGGGAACTCTGGCTGTTGTTCAGTAATGCTGAAAGCTGAAAAATATTATGTCAACATTTTCATGTGCAAACGGAAAGCCATAATTTTGAAAGAATTTATAATAGCTCAAAATCATTGGTCCCTACATGCAGTAAACATGGGAGTTATTGGTTCAGGGCTGCCGAGTGGGTAATGGGAGATGACTGCTACCATCTTGACGTTGATATTTTTGCTGAATGATTTGGCAAAGCAAATCAAAAAAGCCAAGGCTATAACTGCTTTCTGTTGCCACTTTAATAATCTTAAGTGCTCTGAGGAAATTGCCACTAAGCATTTTACACAAAGTATTTGTGGAACAGACCTTAAGAATTATTGTTAGTAAGAGAATAACAGATATTAATGAGCATTTTCCCCCAGTTAGTGTACCAGTGGAGAATTTACAAGTCCTAATGTGCACTAAATTTGAAAATTACAATTTTAATACTATCATGAAGAGTATTTAAATCTGAAAGAAAATTACCAGCTAACTAACTAGGGGATCTGAAGTACAATTGTCAGAGCTGAAACATTCTTACTTCCCCACACAAAAACAACTAAGTCCATCAATCTCAAAGTTTTTATTTGATACTCTATTGCCAGGAAATGTTTTCAAATTCAGATGAAGGAAAGAAAAAATAACAATCCTAAATATATCATTAAAAGCTTTGTGTAGCTAGTAAGCCAGACATTAGGTCAACTTAGAGTCCTTGATTTATGCCAGAGATGTAGCCATGCAGCAGTACAAGAGAGCTGAGTGTCCAAGACTTGTCTAACAAGATGTTATATTTTTCCACATGCAACGAACAGCTCTTTACCAAGTCAGAGGAGAAAGCAGTCCTCCAAACCCTCCTTAGTTGACAGGTTGGGCAGAGATGCCTTTGTGATGAAGTTCAGTTCTTGAACAGGTCCAAATTAATAGCATCTTTTGGTCTACCCTGAAATTTGATGCACCTCACAGAAGTTGTAAGGCAGAAGTTGTGGACTGAGGGAAGCAGACAGGATGCATCAGTTTGTGTTCTCCCTATACCAGGTGCTCTTTCAGCAATATGTGCAGGAGTGAATAAGTACAGATGTGTGTGAAGATTGGGGGAAGCAAACCATGGTTTCTGAATAAGCTCAGTCTCTCAGCATGTACTGCGCTGTGTCTTGACATCAGTTCACCTTTGATGACACAATATTGGCAGCAAACCTCAGGAAGCATCTGGTTGCCTTGGTAGGTAAATGAGCAGCAGCTGGGAAAAAAATTGAGTTCGTGTGGGGACAGAGGCATTGAAGGGCTTTCTGAGCTATTGATTTTTGTATGTGCTCAAGGAAGAACAATGGGGAAACAGATTTTTTGTCAGCTTAGGTTACCCAGAAATTTCTATATTTTGCCCTGCAGCCCAGTTGCCAGATTGATTGAACCTGGTTAACACTGCTTAATAACCAGCACAAACGATCTTTGAAGCAAAAATGCTTAAGAAAAATCTGCTCCAAATCCTTACTAAAGGAATTTGTATCTTAAATTGTGACACATTTTGTGTGAATCATAGAATCACAAAATATCCTGAGTTGGTAGGGACCTATCAGGATCATTAAAGTCCAGTTCCTGGCCTTGCACAGGACCACCCCAAGAATCACACTCGTATGCTTGAGAGTGTTGTCCAAATGCTTTTTAAACTCTGTCAGGCTTGGTGCTGTGTCCATTCTCCTGGTTCCAGTGCCCAACCACCTTCTGGTTGAAAAATATTTTCCTAATATTCAACCTAAACCTTCTCTGACACAACTTCAGGCCATTCCCTTGGGTTCTGTCACTGGTCACCAGAGCAGTGCTTGCCTCTCCTTTTCCCCTCACAAGTAAGTTGTAGACTGCAATGAGGTCTCCCCTCAGTCTACTTAAGGCTGAACAGACCAAGTGACCTCAGCTGCTCCTCATAGGGCTTCCCCTCAAGGCCTTTCACCATCTTTGCTGCCCTCCTTTGGACACTCTCTAAGAGCTTAATGTTTTTCTTATATTGTGGCACCCAACACTGCACACAATATTCAGGGTGAGGCCACACTAGTGCAGAGCAGAGTGGGACAATCCCCTCCCTCTACCGGCTGGTGATGCCCCCCAGGACATGGTTGGCCCTCCTGGCTGCCAGGGCACGGTTGACTCATTCAATTTGCCATTGACCAGGACCCTCAGGTCTCCTTCCCCAGCACTGCTTTCCAGCATCTCATTCCCCAGTCTGTACATACATCCGGGGTTGCCCCATCCCAGGTGCAAAATATGGCACTTGTGTTTGTTAAACTTCATACAGTGGGGGAAGTACAGCCCTCTAATTTATCAAGGTCTCTCTGCAGGGTCTCTCTGCCTCTGAGGTAGTCGACGGTTCCTCCTGGTTTCATCAGCAAACTTACCTGGTATGCCTCTGTGTCTAGGTCATTTACGAAGATGTTGAAGAGACAACATGTTGAAGAGAATACTGAGGTCTATAATAGGAGAAAACCAGTGGTGACCACCAGCTGGGATGGCCATTGCCCAGCTACGTGGCCCAGCTACACCTTTCTACAGGTGAATGTCATGTATCAATTGGGTGCTGGAGTTATTCTTGTCCAGTTTCTGCCTCCACCCTCTGCATGGCTGGATCTCAGGCATTCTGAGCCATGCAGCTGCTGGGTGAGCAGAGGACACAGCATCTCTTTCCCCCACACTCCACAGGTTTTCTGCTCCTGTCCAACCTCATCCTGCTCCTACAGACATTACAGTTATTTTAATTTTGCAAGAACATGCATGATACTAAGATGTATTTCCAAGCCCCTGTATTCCTTGTATTCCTTACATCTTTCCTTGCAAGCACGTGCAGCCCCTGCACAGGTTGCACTTGCTTTAGGACTGTAGCTGCTTCTGCATATGATGCTGTGCTCATTCCCTCACTGATGCCTCTGTGTCAAAGGTCCCCTCAAAATAATTCATACTGAGGTGGGGGGTGCAAGATGGCAGTTAATAGCCATTTTCACACAGCATTTTGAGAAATATCTGCACCTGGGGCCAATTCAAAACACAAGTCTTTCTTTCCATGCATTTTTCTCTCTGCTGCTCACTCAGCTCTAATCATTAGGACCTGATCGCTTCAGCAAAGATGAATGCATTGACAGAGTACTTTTGTGTCCTGTTGTTCAGAAATCATTGTTCCTGTCACTTAATAACTGTAATTACTACTTTTCTAGGCCTTTGGCTGATTGTCTTAGCAGAAGAGGAAAAAAAAATCTGAAAAAGGAGGGTGCAAAATCGGACATCTTGGAAATAAAAATAACCTCTTGCCTCTTGCTATTAAAGTTGTTCCCTTTAGGTCAAAGCCCATATGCATGCACATGTGCACACAGTGCTTCCTCTACTCTACAGTGCCCGGGGTAGTTTGTCTAGTTTTAAATTGGCCAAAGTAGATGAGGGGTGGCAGAAGGTTATTTTTAATCTGTTAATATGTTATGGGAGACTGTTGCGGCAAGGAAGCATAGAAGGTGGGGGAAGGCAGAGGGAAAATGTAAAGTAAGTTTGTTTGAATTAAAAGAGCACATGATTTCAAAGCTCCTGGTGCCAGACTTTTATAGCAGCAAAAAAAGACCTTTTTTTTTTCCCTGCTTTACTTATTCCATGAGAAGACATGTCCCTGTGTCAAACATGGAAGCCTTGGCTTGGCTGAGTCTGTGGTAAAGGAATAAGTGACAGCCTCACAACTGGACTTTTCCAGAAAGCTCCTGGCTGTTTACACAGCTCAGCACAACAAGAAGTGTCACCACTAATACACAGAGGAGCTATGGATTTTGAACCAGGCTGTTAGCCTGCCTGACTCTGGGAGATGGTGGGACCTGACCAGACAGGCAATCAGAGGACATCCTTTTCCCTGGGCAGCTGTCAGGTCCCTGCTATTCCCACTCCTTCCTCTTTGAAATATCAATTTATTCCTGCTTCTCATGCTTAGTATGTCTTTTTTTTTCGTTTTTTTTCTTCACTTTATATAAGAGAATTCTTAGCAATTTCAGACAGGTCCAGCTGTGGTTAATTTATCATGAAGAAAGTAATATCAAATGGAGCAGTGCTGGGGAAACAAACAACCCAGTGCAAAGCCTGCCCCTAATTGATTGATGAAAGGAAAATTAGGGCTGCCTCCAGAAACAATTTCCATAGCAATGGGAATAGAGAGGAAGCTGTGCTGAGAATTGCGGGCAACCCACTGCAGCTCTTTGGCCTCTGAATTGCTGGGCACATCAGCACTAGCAGCAAGGTGCCAGCCAGTGTGCCTGGGGCTCCCACCAGCAGCCAGTGGTGGATGCAACAGGTTAGCATGGGACCACTCTCCCACTGATGGACCCCCAGGGCAGGGCACAGCACAGGGCCCATGGTCAAGCCCAGTTAGGGAGTTGTGAGCACAGTGCTGTACTGAGGGATGGAGATTAACTTCCTCCCCCAACCCTGCTCCTCCCCCAAAGAAACAAATGCCATTTTTTGTGGTCTTTTCTGTTCCTTTGCATTTCTTTCAGGTACAGAACAAAATTCTGCCTCAGCCCAAGTACTGATTGCTACCACTTCAGACAGATTGACTTTCTTTTATTTTCTCTGTAACAAAGTCATTCAGGAGACTTCCCAGCAAGAGTTTTAGTCCTTCAGAAAAAGTCCTTCAGGTGCTCTGGACAACTGGGGCACACTGGCAATTATTGAGACCACATTCTTTGGTTTTGATGGTTAAGGTAGTCTGCTTTAAAACTGACTAATGATATGGAGCATGTCTTTTATTTGCTTGATTGGAGATGTCTTAAGGAAGGCTTCATTTCAGGGAAGGAAGTCCACTAGAGGAGTCTCAGGGTGGGGAACCACAGTTGCCCACATTGCCAGCTGCTTTTGAAAACCTTGTTCATGCAAATTTGTGTGTACCTCTTGTTTGTCAGGCAGGCCACAAAAAGCAAAATTAAGTTCCTGGCAGCTAAATAATGAGCAAGTGTTACTCTTAATGTGGTGTAGTACAAAATTACCAGTTTACAAATTTTAATAGACCTTAGAGAAAAAACAGCACAAAGAGGAAAAAAAGTAAATAACCCTAATTCTGGACTTGAAGCTTGAAAAAACCAAATAAATCAATTTTCATAGTTGTCCATTGGGCACACTCTCCCCAGGTCTTACATTTACCAAGGCTTAATTCCTGCTCTGTAATGGCTCAATGCTGACAGGAATTCGGCACCTAGATAGGAGGAACCATTTCTTGCAGCACATGATGCTGTAGCCGGCTTCACCTCTATGCCTTAAAGCCATACCCTTTTCAAAGCCAGAATGTATACTGCTGCTTTTGGCAATGTTTTGATTGCTGGTTATGACCAAGACTGTGTCAGAAGAAAAGAAAGGCAAGGTTGATGTGAATTTCTCCATGCTACCTTTGTCTGGCTCACCTTTTTCAACAGTATTCCTGAAGTAAGCGGAAAGCCTGATCACTAAAAAGCCTCTCTCCTAATGAGTGGCCTCTTCATTATCATCATCAGTACCAGCAGTCTGCAGAACACGTAGAAGAAACTTCCTGAAAGGAAACAGCCTGAAGGCAGAGAGAGAAAAACAAAGGTCTTTTCCAACCTAAACCATTCTATGATTCTATGATATGTAATGCACCAATCGACGTGAAGATGGATTTCTCTCAAAGCAACATGACATATCTTTATCTGCCTGAATTTAGGAATAAATTTTACAGCGCTGCATTTCGGGGCAGAAAAAAGTTGGCAGACTCTGAGGAGCTTACATATTTCAGTAATTTGTAAAAAGTTAAAGCATCAGTGTATCAGAGAGATGACTTAACAGACAAAAATAAACTGGAGGGAAAAGGAGAAAATGGAAAAAGAGCAGTGCTAAGGATGAAGTTGGGCATTGGTAAAAATTTCTACTTCTTTGCTAAATGCCCTTTCAACAGCATCCACTTTCCAGGAAAAGCTCAAACTTTCTATTGAAAAGCTATTGAAATATAGTTATGTTTGGAGCATTTTCTGATATTGAGCTTTTTAGTGTAGTAATTAGAATTTGCCAGGGAGGGAAAACATCCTCTGATGTTGTTGCTGTTGTCAACTTTTAGTAAGAAATCTCTCCTTCCCTACCTTCACTAGGGAATGAAAAACTTGCACTTGATGAAGAGCTAGAGCAAAAGACAAACAAGGAGAATGACAAAATTAGACAAGTCAAAGCATCCTGATTTGTTTTTTATCTACTCTTTGGTACTTTCTCTTCTAGCTTCTTGTCTGTATCTTTTCTACTTGTCAGGGCTTTTCTTTTAGGCTATCAGATTTTTGCACAGGGATTGAGTTTTCACAAAGGTTAGCATGTTGTGGGCTTGACTGGCAGAGGGTTAAGGGTTACAGCATATATCAGTCACCGCAGACAGACAGCTAGAAGGAAAGGTCATCTGGACAGCCCTTTGCTATAGTAAACAGCAAGGGAACCCAAAAAAGAAGGCTGAAATTTTCAATGCAAAGAAAAAGTGAGAAAAAAAGTGAGTAGAGCCTTTGTTCTCAAAGAGACGAGCTGAAAACCATCACAACCAGCACACCTGCTGTCTGAGCATTTGGTCAGACTCTGGAAAATGTTGTTGCTGAAGGCTGGTAGTTTTGCTACGTGCTGTATTTAGCTCCAGCTTACAGTCTTACATGCCATCAAACCCAAGGCAAGTCTACATATTTGCTAGATATACTTGAGCAGTCTTTCTCAGCTTAAACTCAAGCACCTGCTTTATGACCTTACTAGGTCTGGATTGTCAAGGCCCTGGTGTTTGTTCACAAATATTTACAGGGAAGGCACGATACTCAGATGGAAGTGGCATTGTTTCTAGAGAAAACAATCAGGACTAAAAGGGTAAGCACAGATCAGACATGACAGTTTCAGCTAGAGACAGGAGCTGATGCCACTAGGGTGGCATTTTAAATATACTCTTCTGTGGTTTATTTGCAAAGAATGAACATAATGCTCCAAGAGATGAAGAACTCCACCTGCTCTGGAGATGTAGCTATAGCAACCTCCACATGATTACATTGCTAATCTGCAGGTGCTGAAGAGGCATAGATAGATGCTGTTGAGTAATTCAGCTTCAAATAGATACTTTGATCTGCATAACAGCTTGCATTCATGTCCTAAATATGGATCCTTTCCAGTTCTGCAATTCTTCTTTATAACAGCAAAATTCCAATCCTTTATTTTATAAGGGGAGTCTTAAAACTTGCCCATGCTAACTAACAAGAAAACCAGATCTCTTAATTTCAGGTGGGGCAGGAGTGGGAGGAAAAGAAACCTTTTCATTGCCAAAACTGCTGAACTGTTTCTTGCATATCTTATCTGAGTGACTCCTCAATGGGAACAAAACCAAACAAAAAAGAAAAGTTGTTCTACTTTCCTGCATACATGATGTACTGATGAATCAATTGCATCTTCACATTAAAGACAGTTTATTCTTCCACAGACATCGGCAGCAGTGTCTGAACTTGTACCAGATCAGATCATGCTTCATTAGCAGCCACAACACTGTTAAAAGCATCAAGCTAACGTCTGTCCTGCTTTTTTCTCCCCAAGATGTAATTGAACTTGGTGGGGTTGCCTGGGATGGAAGTCAACGCAGAATATGGCTCATCATCAGAGAGCTCCAAAGGAACCTGAACCTTTGATAAGCGCAATCTGCAATTCACTGATTCCATAAAAGAAAGGAATTAAACAGCTCCAAGAGAAAAATGACCCTTCATTGTATTCCCTGCTAATCTGCTGGAGCACTCCTTTGGAAGGGTAGTTCAGCCACACACTCATCATTTCATGAAAGCTAGCTAAGGACATTTGATGAAGCTTCTAAAGTCTACATAACATGCCCCTTTCCTTCTCTCCTTTTTTATTTTCTTTGCCATATGAGCAACCTTCAGCCCAGTTGCTCCCTTCACTTCCTGAAGCATCTACACTGCCCTGCTTCCTGCCCCTGCTTCATTTGTTTCTTCACAGATTTCTGCACAATCACCTTATTTATTTATTGGAATGACTTTCTGTGTTAAAGAACAACAAATTAAAACAGAAAAGGCATTTGAAATTCATTGGTCAATGTTGAATGCTTGCCTTTCGCATGAACTGCATGCATGTGGCAATAAAGTGGACCACGGCGCAACAGCCGACTCTTTTTTTCCAAGGGAGCCTGTCTCATCCCTTGCCTAGGACACAGCTTTTCCAGAAAATTATATCTTATTGCTGAATTCAGACATTCTTCACTCCACCCCAAAGCTCCCTGTCCCACTGCCTTTCTACTGATCTTGCCTCCACTCTCCCCTCCTGCCCCACTGACCCCCAACCCTATCTTGGTGTCCTGCATTTTGTCACAGCCCTAGACTCCTTGCATCCACTGCCCTGGACATCCGGGCTACCCCTGCCACCAGAAACCACTAGACTCCTTCACCTTCTGCCTACCTGAGACATTTCAGACTCTTTGTCTCTGGCTCCTGTGGCTTTTCCTTCGTGCCACCCATCACTGAGTGGCTCCCACCACAGGGGCTACCCACCCCTTGCAGCTTTAGGGGGCAACTGGAGAGGGGAATTACAGCATCTGTCTTGCACACTGAAGGGAAGCAGTGCCGTGGTCTTTCTTGTCTTGGCCCTGGGTGTCCTGCACACTGATGCTTTGCGCATCGGACAGATCTGTCCTGCCTGGTTACCCTCTAGCAACCTCACTTCCCACGACAGGTGGTCTGTCTGAAATCACAAACTCTGTCTCAGTAGAACCATGTCAATTATATGCCTCTCTTCTAACTCTTTATTAATTAGATCTTCCATTAGTTCCTCATTTATTTAGCCTGATATTGATATCAAGTAAACTGGACTATATTCACCTGCATGGTTTCATTTGTCTCAGAATTTTTACACAATATTGACATTGAACTATGAGAATTTACCCATTTTAAAAAATATTAATATTAATATTAAAAAGTACGTACACATGCTAAAAATATCCTTCATTGACTCTTGTGGGCCACTTTTGTGGACCTTCCAATTTAAAAAATGGTTAACTCTAGTGCAAGTTGTTCAATATCTTTCTTAATTAGTAATGTGTCAGAAAATACATTATTCCAAATAGAGAGCAGAAATAATTGTTGAACAGTTTAGAGTTTTTCTTCATTGTTATTAATGACTAGGCTGTCTTCAGCTAGTAATGAGTCTATGGCATTGAGAGTTTTTCTGTTATTATTCATATCTTTTCAAGAAAATACTTCTTCTTAAACAAAGTCTGACCATCCATGAAGTTTTTTCTGATGTCTTTAGTATCCTTTATCAATTTTCTACACCTCATAAACTCTTATTTATATGGATTTTTATTACCTCCCCCTTTTTGCCATATGTTGCGTATTACTTTTTAATTCGTTATTCCTGCCTTCATTCTTCCATTGAAAGAGAATATGCTTTTCACCAATATTATTTAGCTCCCTTGCTGTGAAGTAATGGCTTTTTGGCCATTTAATATGTGCTTCTGCCTAATAACTTTTTACACTTAGTTTCACTTGTAACTTTTCTTGGTTTGGGAAACTAGTATCTTTTAACTACTGAGTGCATGTGGCACTTGGGGTTACACAACTTGTCAGGGCAGTGATGGCAGCTGTCCCTAGGCAGCCTGTGATTTATGCTTCGGCACAGTTTTCCTTGCCACACAGTCCAATTCCACCAGTCTGCACTGGGCCTGGGGTTGCAGAGGGTCTCTCCTCTCTGAAGGTGTTGGTTTCATAGGTGTATGCAGTTTACGAAGCTGTTCCTCACACACAGGCAGAGGAGGTTTGCTGCATCTGAGATGCCCGCCATCCCCAAACCAGCAACGGTGGAGAATGTGTCACCTTCCATTTTACAGCCTGTGCCCTGCCCAAGCAGGTTTTATCCAGCGCTTTTAACACTGCCATCATATAAAACCTTCCAGGCTGTTTCAGTAGGCCAGTTATATCAGATTTCTTCCCACTGGGGTTACTTTCACTTCCTCCTGCTTGTTTCCCAAACTCCTCATATTGGTCTATAAATGCATGGAAAACAAGGGCTCTGGTGACACAGGAGATGGGAAGGGTCTCTGGCCAAATGGGAGCCCCTGACCCACATAGACTCATGGAAATGCGAAGAGAACCTCAGAGGGAGAAAGAGGCTGGCTCAGAGGTCAGGACAGAGTTGAACTGAACTCTCCCTTTTAATCCTCTGCCTCAACTGCAAGACTTATCTTTCCTCACGAATTGCTTTTGAGCTGTATTGCTCCCAGATGTGCAGAAGTGTTTTTAGCGAGCCCAAATAGCCTTTCAGTTATCTAAGCTGAGAAGGAAATGTCATATATTGCTCAGGGAAAATCTTAACTTTCTCTCTGTATGTGCATGCTGGTCCATAGCAGAAATAGTTCCATCTAGAAAAATATTATTTTGGGAATCAAAATCAGCACTTTTTTTGTTTGAATGTGCTATTTTTCACTTTGCTTGGCACTTCAAGTGCAAGGTCATGTGGCAAATCATTACACTAACAATGTTTATCTCTGTTTGAAGAATTCTGTCAAAAATTGATTTGAAA